AATGAAATTCTAATTTCATTTTACATATCGCTTTTGATGTATATAATATAGTAAGAGTATTCCTATAAGTTTTAAATAATGTAGATAGTATAAGAAAAGCTTTCAAAGCAATATAATCGATTGTAAAACTTCTATTCATAGGATATATACTCGTTTTTTTGAAGAATCGTAAAATATTATACTTTGTATAAATAAGCTTTCAAGCCTTTTTAAATATACCCCAAAATATATATTTTGTTATATCAATAATCCTTTTGCTATTATATATCAAATTATTCAATAATGTATTGTAATTTATTAAAAGAGCATTAAAGGTTCCAATATCGAAAGGCTGTAATCGATATATAAAATAAAGAAAGAGAATTAAAATAATAATCTTTAATTTATTATATTTTAAAAGGAATTCTATATTAATATAATTAGAATAATTATCAATAATAAATAGATAATATCTTCCATCTGCTTTTTGATATATAACAAGGTCGAATATGTTTATAAGTTAATATAAACTAAAAGCATTCGATAATTACTTATTACTTGAAATTTCAAAATAGGCTTTATTCTTTTCCCCTATATCCTGAACCTATATATCTTATAGATCCCCTGAGTCTTCTTTATAAATAAGAGCAGAAGGGAGAGCTATTCCATTAGCATATATAGCTACCAATAGGATAATAAACTCTCTTAATCCATTTTGCCTAGCTTTTGTTACTCTGCCTCTATTATAAGTATTAGTACTCATTATCCTTTTTATAATTCTCCCTATATTGATTATAAAGCCCTTCTCATCCCAATTATATATATCTCTCAGCTATATATTGTATTTTATAATTACTTTTATTAACTAAATTAAAAAAAGAGAAATATTAACAAAAGCATTTTAGATAATAAAGATTAACAATAATAGAAAATAGCTTAAACCAGATTATAAAAGTAATCAAATATAACAATATTATCAACTTTCATATATAAATTATTAATATAACAGAGATATTGACTTTTAAGATATATTGAATGCTTTTTAATAAAATTGCTAGTTTAATTCTTTTTCACCTTTTTGCTTAGAATTTTTTTTGTAAGGTTTTTGATTATACAGCTTATAGAAAGAATAGATCTTTATATTAGTTTATTGATTTGATTAATTAAAATCTTCTCTTGATTACTAAAAAGTGTTTATTTCGTATCGAAGAGGAACTATTTTCTCGAGATAGTTTTATTTCTATATTGTTGGGAGAGTATGGATTAATCAATTTTAAAGAAATTAACTATCTAGATGTATTTAGAAGCTTGAACCCCTTTCGAATAATCTAATGCAAGTTTTATATAAGTTTCTAAAGGTATATCATTAATGTTTGAAGCCATAATATTGATATTTTCAAAGTCGTGCATATAGTAGGAACGTGTACATAGTGGGGAAATCGGTTATCTGACAAAGTAAGACTGCAAGGGTTATTGAAGTCCGCCCCACCAATCAATCAATACAAATACAACATCACCTCACCAAACTCTGATTTCCGACTCTAGATATCGATAAAAGCTACTATCAAACAGCACTCCCGCCAATTATTTACCCCACAACCCCCTCTCAAAATGTCCCGCTACTGGCCCCACCCCCCCTACGCCGAGGACCAACCTCACTCTGGACTAATCCTGTGGACCCACATCCTCACTCGCGCTCCCCCTACCGCCGCTTTCCTCACTCCCTTCATATCCGCCAGCACTCTTATCTACCGCAAACTCCCCTTACCCGCCTCCCTACTTCCCCGCTCCCAACCGTCTTCCTTTCCCTCCCAGCTCCTCAATCTCCGCTCCATGGGCACTAACACTCTCGGCGTCACTTCTCTCGTCACCCTCGCAACAATTGCCCTTATGTACGGGCGCACAGATATTGAATATCGAGATCGCAGTTGGCGGCTCTTAGAAAACAAAGGACAGATGGAATCTGACGATTGGATGTATGGTGGTATGATAGTTGGTGCTCTTTGGAAGTTCAAATCTGGGTCTCTGGTAGATTGGAGGGTGAGAGTTGGGAGTATCAGCGCAGGAAGCGCAATAGGGGTCCTGGGGTATTTAGGTTGGAGATATGGAGTCAAAGGGGGAAAATGGGATGAAGATGAAAGGAATCAGAGGACTGAGAGTACGAAATTATAATTTGCGATTCGGGCTTCAGGTTGCATGGCACGTGGGTTTAGGAGTTCGGCGGAAAGTAATTGGATATCACCCACTCTTTTTTATCTGTAGGTTCTTGTATATTACTACAACCCTTGAATTGACTGATACCCCATGTGAGTGTGTATATAAATTGATCAACAACCATCCCTCATCAGCGAACAGGTGATCAAGTTTCAAATGCTATACGCCATTTAGAATGCATTTTTACCCCCTCTTTACCCATTTATTCTGCTATTGTCCCAATTGCCTTCCGTCCCACCAACATACGCCCCTAAAAGAGAAAAAAACTCCAACCAGTGTAAAGAAGCGAGAATTTCCCATCTCAGACCTCCGGTCCTCATTTCCACCTTTCCCAGAACCCCAGCTCCTTAACCAATCCACCGAAAGAATGCTAATCGCCATCACTAAGCTCCATCGAATTGACTTCATTCACCACCACTTTGCTCCTTGACTTCCCCTTCCCTTTCGTTCTGCTTGGTCTCAAACCTGCCAAAACCTCATCTTTCCTCAATGATAATTCCCTCTCAATTTCATCTTCCTCATCATCAAAAATCCTACTTCCATTTATACCATGAATAGCCGTTTCCTCCAAGGCCTTATTAAGTAATTCGGTCGCAATAGCATCTTGAGGTGAAATAGCAAGTGCTTCGTGGAACATCAAAACAGCTTCAAAAGGTTTCCTCTGCTCCATTAATACCAAACCCTTTGCACAAAAAATAGCTGGATCTTTTCCGCCTTGCCGAAGTACCGCATCAAATTCTGCCAGAGCGGCATCCCATTGATGAAGACGTCGATATGCATGACCCAGATTTGAGCGAGTGGATATCCAAGCTTGTGGATCACTGTCAATCTCTTCAGCAATTTCGAGCGCTTTCCTTAATATCAAGACAGCATCTTCGAGTCGTTCTTGGTGATAGAATACTACTCCCATCTCGTTCAGTAGTAATGGATCGGTTTTACAGAGTTCATATGCAGTTTTCAAGAACTCATCGGCTAGAGTCATGTTGTTTAGCATGTGATTTTGCATGCCTAGAAATAGTTGAGGCAAGTGAGTGCCCATAAAAAGTCTTGCCGCTGTCGAATACGCTGAGATTGCTTGATCATGTTCTCCTTCTGCTGCGAAAGTATGGGCGAATCCAATCCAAGCAGGTCCAAAATGAGGATCCATCATACTGGCTTTACTGAAATAACGTCGAGCTTCAGCGACTTTGTTTATGGCCAAATAGTATATGCCTACGGCAAGCCAAGTACAGGGCTCTTCTGGATGATTATCCGCCAAATCGTGTGATACCTGTCAGTGAAAGTGTCAGCATTTATGGTGTGTCATAACTTTTTCTTAGAAATTCCTCGGAAAAGATTGAGCCGTCCTAGGTCCATCCCCAAAAGATGCGTCATTGGGAGTTATGAATAAGAAGTCGCGAAATCTAATTATGCTCTCAAAAAAAAGGAAGACCATGGACTTACGAGGAACAGAGCATTCTTCAGTTGTAATTCGTACAGACATGCTAAATGCAAAGGGTATATACTAAAATTGTATTTGTCTTCCTCGAGGATAGAATTTGTAATAGCTAGAGCATCCTTAAACCTGCATTGTGTAAAAAACAGATCCGCTTTAGATAATAAAAGATCTGGATTTGTAGCAAGGTTGTAATGTGTTGAGAGAGTTTCTGTTGCTGTTGTAAACGCTGCTGGGTTCTTGTATTTCGAAAGTCGAGTAGTATAAAGCATTTTTGTAAATTCGGCAGCTTCTTGAGAGGATGAAGTATCGTCCGTAACGGATATAGTATCAAAATCCAGGGATTCTAGAAATTGCCATTCCTCTTCTGGTGACATAAGACAATTCTTCATAAGCTGCTCGAATGCTTCGAAGCATTGTACATCTATTCGAACAGCATCTTTGTAACATTCTTTCGCTCTATCGAAAGCATTTTGTTTGGCATAGCAAAGTCCTCGTAGAAAGCACATTGCAGCTTCGAATTTGACATTTGCCGCTTCATCTTTTGCCATCTCATCTTGTCTATGCCGACTGCTCTGTGTCGTTGATCCATTTCGTGCATGGCCTCTCGTATGTTGTAACTTTTTTCTGTTGTGACCGGCCGTTGATATTAAATGTGTAGGATTCTTCTCGCCGAGTATACTCAAAGCCTCCTCGAATCTCGATTGTTTTATGAGACAATGGCCTGCAAGGTACCGGCAGGATGGATTTCGAGCTATTAAGTCTTGTTTGGTGAGGAAACTCTGAGCTCTTGTATAGTTTCCCGTGGAGAAATGCACTTGTGCAAGCCAAAAAGCATCTTTATCACTTTCTATAAGATGGTTAGAACCAACAAGTTACCAGAGGAGTATCTAAGGGGTGGTACTTGTTATAGCTAGCAATTTATCTCCAATAAATATTGCCGAGTCGTATTGGTGCTTATTCATAGCATCCTGCCGCCAATCTCTCAAGAATTTCTCCATATCTTATCGTAAATTGTACCCATACAATCAAATTCCAAGATTATTATGATCAATGTCAAAGGGTATCAATTACGAAGGGGTACAAAATTAGGTTTATTGTTTGTTTTCATAGCGAGGCAGTCGCGTGGGGTGACGCGAGGCTGAGGTCTTTATCAATGATTTTCACGAGGCCAGGCGATAGAGGCTTACATAATGTATATTGGACTGGGCTATCGATTTGATCCAGAACTTCGTCGCCTTGTCTCGTCTCTCACCTATCATCCATCATTGCATCGCCAACTCGGAATCGAAACCACCCTCATCCACTTTGAACAACTAAAACCTACCCTACTACGATAACAATCAGATTATTTACAGCAGCTTAATTCAAGATGTCCGAGCGAAAAGTTCTCACCAAATACTACCCACCCGATTTCGATCCTTCGAAGATTGTTAAGTCGCGCGCTCCCAAACAAGTTGGCCCGAAAGTACAGACAGTCCGTTTGATGGCACCATTTCCCATGAAATGTACGGCTTGTGGAGAATATATCTACAAAGGGCGGAAGTTCAACGCGCGCAAAGAAACTACGGAGGAGAAATACTTGGCTATCTCAATTTACAGGTTTTACATCAAATGTACAAGATGTTCTGGCGAAATTACTTTCAAGACGGATCCCAAAAACATGGATTATCAGTGCGAGCGTGGTGCGAAAAGAAACACCGAACCGTGGCGAGTGAATGGAGGTGGCCTTCAAGAAAGCGATGAAGAGAGACTGGATCGTCTGGAAAGAGAAGAACAAGAGCGAGATGCCATGCAAGAATTGGAGGATAAAACAGCAGAAGCAAAAACAGAAATGGCTGTTGCCGATGCATTGGATGAAATCCGCACAAGAAATGCAAGGAATGAACGGGTCGGAAAGGATGGCACTGAGGTCACTGTAACGCGAGAAAATGTTGACTCGGAACGAGAAAGACAGGAAAGAGAAGACGAAGAGGTTGCTCGAAGGGCGTTCATGAGGAGACAGGAGGCTATGGAAGAGATTATAGAGGATGATGCTGATGATGTCGGTGCAGGACCAGCACCAAAGATTACTAAAGAAGAGACATTAGCAATGCCACCTCCCAGCTTCAAACGAGTTGTAAAAAAGAAAAAAGATCATGCTGCTGCATTGGGGATCAAGAAGAAGCCTTCCCTGGTTTAAATGAAGACTTCGGCTGTGACGGCAGACGATAGAAATAATTCGATATTCTGTTAACATTCGAGGGGATTGATATGGCAAAGCGTTATGCTGGCACAAGATCATGTTTGTAAAATCAAAAACCATTCGTTCAAAATGCCACTGGAAATGTCAAAAGTGTTTAGACTAACTAAACGCAGATTGTCAACGGCTTTAGGGTTACTCCCGTGCATCCGTCTTACGCTTTGATGATCATATTACAGCAAAACCTCTCCATAAGGATCCCCCTACAAGGATAACCTCTCTATAAGGATATATTTTTCGGTCCCAAAAAAATTTAGGCCTAAAAAAGGCCTATATCCTTAAAACCCTTCCATTAGGATATCCTTATATTTTTCGGTCCTAGAATCACATGTATTCTTAATGGACTAATAGAATCATTAGGATTAGTTATTATATAATCGATATATTGAAATTTTATTCATTTTTTATGAAAATAATATTTTTTTCGGAATTGTTACGGAATATGTCCTGATCGGGACTAATCGGAAGCAGATTACTATTATGTTGGGATTAGTCGGATACCTCTATACAAGGATATCTCTATATATCCTTAAAAAAGTCTACAAAAACCAATATCCTTATAAAGAGGTTTTGCTGTACATCGATATAGCGCATGTTTCAGGGGTAACATTTGAATCATGCAAATTGCCGATATTTCCGCTCTGGGTCCGAAAGTCAATTACTTCTTCCGCTCACATTGATTATTCGTTGTTTTGCCTTTTCGATGCAGAAAAGATTCGAGTGCAAATATGGGGTCATCCGCATTGCATTTAAGACGAACCAATCTCGTATACGAATGACGTTGTCTAAACTTACTTTACTTTGTGAGAGGATAAGCATTTATTTATGATCATAGATGGAGGAAACGATGCTTCGTACTCAGTGCGCAAGATGTAACGACAGGACGATTCGTCAGTTAATTACATATCGTTCGAGGTATACGAAGCACTGAGCAGAATTTCAAGCATTCATGCAGGCAGGTGGGTTACGTCTGGTAGTTCAGTCCATCATATCTAGTAGATGTTTTACTCTCAGTCTCACCAATATATCAACGGGATTCTTTCGGCAATATCACGTGAAAGCCTACCAATCCTTTTTTTGGTAATGAACTCCTGATCCAGTTTGATCTGGATTCTCGTATTTTCTTCGATGGTTGACCCCCCATTTTGTGTGACAACGCCGATGTCCTTTTCTGATTGCCGGCGTCAGTACCCAAGAGCACTCCGCACTGTTTGCATGATTATCAAGGCGACCTTGTCTGTAAAGGCTTCGAGAAGCTTGTGTGGATTGAGAGAGGGTAGATCGGCAAATTTCCATTCACAAACCCCACATCTGATCTTTTGTATCATCACTTCAAGGCTGATGCTGGCTTCAATCGTAACGATGAGCTAATTAATCATCTTCATGGGCGGCACTTTTCTCCCGCGGTTCTTAGGAAAAGTTTGATGGACGCCACAGCCGTTATCAGTGAGGGCTTTTGTTGACTTTTGTATGGATCATATCGTAAGTTCCGACATACCCGCCAGGCGGATCGGAACACAATTAACTATCGAATACACTCCGATTTTGAGCATGTGTGGGTGGGTGTCAATGGAGGTGTGAGATATGTCGTCGTTCATTCATGAGATAGGTGAAAAGTCTCCAACTTATAGGGGGCTTTGGAGATATAAGTATCATCTCAATCCTGAGCATCAAAATCTTCCTTTTACTCCATCATCATTATCATTTTATTATCATCTTCTTACAGCTTTACGATAAACTTGAAATTCTTGCTTCCAATAATAATAAACCAAACAAATCTTCCTATTTATTACTTGACTTATTAAACACTATCACATAAACATGGGCTCTGTTCAAAGAGAAACTCCAGCTTACGGGCAGCGCTTACTACCAACCTTGGTTGACGAAAAGGCTGGAAGCGATCCTAATCGTATTATATATTCTTATGCGAAAACCACCAAAGCAGTAGATGGTTTCGTCGAAGTATCACAAAAGCGCCTCGCCAACGCGGTGAACAGAGCTGCTTGGTGGATTGAGAAGTTACTTGGAAAGGGCAAGAACTTCCCATCCGTAGGATATGTTGGTCCAGGTAAATCTAGAATATATATCCGATCACCTCAAAGTTATGTGCTAACTATTTCGAAGGGGATCTGAGATATCAAATCCTTGCCATAGCACTCGTCAAGGCTGGCTACAAGATCCTCCTCAATTCCCCAAGAAACAGTATCGAAGGACATCTCAATGTCATAAAACAATCCGAGTGCAACATTTGGTTACTACCTAGCCACAGCACTGGTAATATCCGTGAAGTCCTTAAGGTCCGTCCTATGACTGTTCTCGACTGTCCAGAACTCGACTTCTTCCTCGACGAAACACCAGTTCCACATTATGCCTACAATAAAACATGGGCAGAGGCATCTCAGGAGCCTACTCTTGTCTTGCACACATCTGGATCAACAGGTCTTCCTAAGCCTATTGTTGTTCGACACGCTTTAGGTGCGGTTCTTGACGCACAAAGGTTGGTGAAATGCGAAAATGAAGAAGCCCTTCAATCGGATTGGTGGAGAGGATCTAAGGCCTTTTCAAGTTTCCCAACTTTCCATGCTGCCGGTGTTTATATAAATCTTTTCAGCGCGTTGTTCCTCGACATTCACGTTGTGTTGGCATCACCATTAGCTCCAGTAACCCCCAGTTTGGTGGACGACATGATTGAGCATGCTGGCGTTGATGCTCTGATGCTTGCTCCATCAACAGTCGAAGAATTGGCATTCTCTTCCTCGAGTCTAGAGTTGATTCAAAAGAAGAACATCAAGTACATTTGCTTTGGCGGTGGACCAGTTGGACAAAAAGCTGGAGACATCCTCACAAAAATCACAATTCTTCAAAATCTGATTGGAAGCACAGAAGCTAGCCTTTTCGCACTCATTTGGCCAGGAAGAGACGATTGGAGATATTTCAAATTCCACACCGACAATGGTCTCAAATTTGTGGATAGAGGTGACGGTCTCTATGAAATGCTTGTTGTCCGAGATCCAAAGTTGGAAAAGTTACAAGGAATGTTTCATACTTTCCCCGAACTCAATGAAATTTCTACAAATGATTTATGTTCGAAACACCCCACAAAGCCGGACATGTGGCTCTATCGTGGCAGAGCAGATGATATCATTGTATTCTCAAACGGCGAGAAGCTGAATCCTGTCACAATGGAACAAACCATCAACGAACACGAATTAGTCCGCTCAGCAATCATTGTTGGTCAAGCTCGCTTCCAACCTGCCGTCATCATCGAGTTGATCAACCCGGTAGAAGTAACCGAAGACAATAAAAAGGACTTGATCTCTCGTATCCAACCTTTCATCGACGCTGCAAACAAAGGCTCACCAAGCCACGGTCAAATCAAAGATGGCTTTGTGATGTTTGCTAAACCCGAAAAGCCATTCTTGCGCGCTGGAAAGGGTACTGTTCAACGTGCAGCAACTATCAAACTTTACGAACCGGAAATTGAAGAGCTCTTCGCTAACACAGAAGGTGGTGATGATAGCGGTCTCGATACTAGTTCTTTAGAATCATTGACTTCTACATTGAAGGATTTAGTTGCCAAGATAGCTAGCGTTAATGAGCTTAGTGTCGATGAGGACGTCTTTGCAAGCGGATCATTCGATTCTTTACTCGTTTTCACTCTTTTGAGACAATTGCGATCAGCTTTAAAGAATGATAACGTTGAAACCGAGAAGTTGCAAGCTAGCACCATCTACAAAAATCCAACCGTCAAATCTCTCGCATCAGTTGTCTTCAAACTTGCTCATCCATTGGAAAACCGAGAAGATTCTTCCAAAACCGACTTCGATGAGAGACAAGCAATGTTTGAGAAATACGCGAAGGACTTGCCAACCAAGACTTCTGGTACCGCTGCTCAAGATTCAAATGCTAAGATTTCCGTCATCTTGACAGGAAGTACCGGATCTATGGGTAGTTACATGCTCGACGATTTAGTCGCCTTACCTCACATCTCCAGAGTCTATGCACTTAACCGAGCCGTCAATGGCGAGGAGAGACAAAGAGGAGCCAGCTCAAGCCATGGTCTCAACACTGATTTCAGCAAAGTTACATTCTATAAAACAGACATTTCGCAACCACGTTTCGGACTCGACCAGGAATCATATGATGAGTTGTTGAACAATACCACTCATATCATTCACAACCAATGGCAAGTAGACTTTAACTTAAGTCTTGCATCTTTCGAACCTCACATCCGAGGTGTACGAAACTTGATTGATTTCGCGGCCCAAAGCAAGAACAACGCTATTGTATCCTTCATTTCATCGATCGGTGTTACACAAGGAAAGAATTGGGAAAAGCCTGTTCCAGAACTTATCATTGATGATTGGAATGCAGCGGCTATGGGATATGGTTCTTCGAAACTTATCTCTGAGGTACTTTTGGCGGAAGCTAATAAAGTTGGTGGTGTACGCACGCAAGTACTTCGTGTTGGACAGGTATCTGGACCTGTGAGGAAAGAGAAGGGAAGATGGAATATCCAGGAATGGTTCCCTACTGTAAGTTTTCATGTCCCCTTTAAAGAGACAAAGAAGCAGAATCCTAATAAAACATCCTAGATCGTCTCAGCATCCCAATACATGAAAGCCGTCCCCACAACCATCGCAGCCATGAACCGTATCGACTGGGTCCCCGTCGATATCCTCTCCAACATAATCCTCGACCTAGCTGATCTCTCCAAACCCTCTTCCTCTTCCCCTTCCACCCAAACCGCCTTTTACCACCTCGTAAACCCCACTTCCATAACCTGGTCCACCATCTCCCCCATCCTCGCCTCCCAAATCGGCGCAGACTGCAAGATTGTCTCTTGGGAAGAATGGGTCGCCCTCCTCCGCAAATCCGCCGAGCGCGGAGAAATCGCTCAGAATCGGGGTATCAAACTCTTGGAATTTTACGAGGGGTCGGGCAAGGGAGCTCCGCTTGCGAATTTAGAGACGGAGAAGACAGTTGCCAAGAGTGAGACTTTGAGACAATTGGAGCCGGTTAATGGAAGCTGGATGGAGCTATGGATGAGACAGTGGGCTGCTTGAAATGATATAAGGTGATGTTTACATGGGTGGGGAGTTTGGAAATTATGGAAGGTAGCGGGGAATAGATTTCTTTTCTATTTTATTCGGGCATTGCGATGGCGCATTGAAAGATGGGGGTGCATGTATCAAGGTGGAGTTACTGGATGTAGTAAATTAGCCTTCTATTTCAACAAATTTATAACAATGGTTAAGACAAAAGATACGCCTATTGACAATAAGGTGCGATGAAAAGGTGACAAGCGATGAACTTTATAGGGAGGATAGAGCTAAGAAACTGGTATTTTCCAGTGCTTGATTATGCAATGAATGTGTATCAATCATTTGTCTGCAAACTCTAAATCTGTCCTTCCTGTGCTCCATTTTCAGTGCTGAAAAAAAGGGAAGGTGACCAGCTACCTTCTATGCAAAACCACAATTCTTCTACTAACAACGAAATGCTAGACACCCAATGCACCGACATTCAATCTTGTGCATTTTCCCAAATTCCAAACCAACCCAAGAATGATGATCATTTATCTGATAGTGCATTGGCACTTCGACCTCTCTCTTACTATTCTCTTCTTTTCCTCCAAAATCCATTCTTCCTCTCTCTTTTTATCCGCCAACTCCCTTAACTCCTTTCCCATATCCGTTTTGATGCCCCGCCCGCCAGTAGGATCTGGTTGATCAAGGAAATCATGAATCCCAATTTCGCTCTCGTTACTTTTCGCAGCCTTCGCATCAACTTCTAGATTCCTGGATTTAGTGAGATCTTCCCCTTCATGTCAAAGAGAGCGTGTTCACAAACCGGCATACTCCTCGCTTTCATCCGCCCAATTTCTCAATTTCTCTCTCCTGAAGAATTCGAAATCCCATTCTCCTTTCTCCAAAGCATCCAAATCTGTAAAGACATATGTTTGAGCTTCTTTCTCTTCTCCTGTTTCAACAGCTTCGGCCATGATTGCATTGACACCGTGTACATGTTCTTTATCCTTTGGAGTCAGGATCTTTACAGTGACTACTTTTCGCTCATATTGAGATCCTTCAAAGTAATCAAGATTGCGCATGTTGGAGGGCGTAAGACCGGTTACATAGGTACCACGGACAGTATGACCTGGTTCGGAGATTATGGCCGGATAGTCAGCGAATCTAACACGGTGTCGACAGTAGTCATGGAGAAGGGCGGGAGTGATGGTTAGAGAAGTAGAAGGATGATTGGAGGCACCGTAGATCACGCGGTAGAGAACTTCGGGGGCCATCTAATTGGGAAAAGAGTTAGTGATAGTAGAAGAACAGAGGGTGGAAAAAGTAGAGGAAGAGTAGAAGGCGGAGACCAAATAGCGAGTATGAGAATCAGAGAGAGAGAGAGGAGAGACTTACGAGAGTGCCGTAGAAGAATGCATTGTAAGTTTCGGGGAGGGTTGGCTCGGTCATCTCTGTGTTTCCTGCTGCCATTGATATCAAACTTGTGTATGTAGAAATGGTAAGCCTCCTCTTGATATTGCCTATCAACTTCCTTCCCAGTAGAGTGAATGTGGAGAGTTCAAGACGAAGATAAGTGACAGAGATGCGACGATGGAAAGAATGACAAGAAGAACCAAAAAAATCTTTCAATATCCTACCAAACTTATAGAAAAAACTTAACTCAGCTGCCTCATGTTAACGAAGTCATACTTTATGCAATCATTCTTTGTATGGAGGGTAATATCTACGCGCCGATGATTAGAGAGGTCTCTCGGTGTGTTACTCACTGATAAAGAAAGATAAGGAACTTGTATTAGTCATCGCAGATATGACAGCTTTCGCTAATCCTTTCAGAGACTAGCTCGACTAGGTAGGTAACTAGACATATTTTACGATCAACGGTTTATCATTGATCCATATCAATGCATTTTCATCTTCATCATGAGTACAAACGATATTGAGCATTATCTAAAACTAAAAATACTCTGATTCTGTCCTATCTCTTTGTTGTTCTAACATTCTAGATCTTCACCGGTTTCATCAAGGAACAAATACCAGAATCATCAAGTGATGATCAATTTACCTATTTTGCGCTGAGAATTTGCTAGGAAAGAACTAGAGAGCTCTGGAGTCACGTCAAACGTTGAGCTAAAGTCTTAGTTGGCCATCACTTCTCTATTTCCTTCCCTTTTCGCCATTCTTTAGTTTTTCAAAGACTTTTGAGAGTTATTCACTTGATAGTTGGATAGATGTCGTTATTTTAAGCAAGATCGTCCCATGCTAGTATCCTACTATAAGAGTTTTGATAGGAGAATAAAGAATTGATCTCGTGACCACTCTACTAATTATGAAGCTACATCAATCTTAGTTTTCAATAGTAAATAGTTCACTGGAAGTATGGCTAAAATTTAAGGACGTGACGTTATGACAAGTGTTTGATCCTTTCCCCCCCCCAAAGCAAAATATACATATATAAAGTCTTGTCTACGTACATGCTTAACTCTTCTTTCTTTTCATACACAAACTCTTACGCACACACACCAGGACAGTCAAACTCCGAGATGTTGTTATCAAACCTCATCAGTGCGACTGGCCTTGCAGTCCTCGCGGGCCCAAGTCATGCAGTTGCTTCCCATAATTCATTTCCTTCCAATCAAGCTTCAATCGAATTTTCTGAAGAGAATCAAATGCTTTTTGGTCATTATCAAACCATAACTCACCTTTTGAGCAATCTTCATGGAAGAATCGGCATCAACGATTGACGCCACAATAAATTTTCAACTTAGTAGACAAGAGCCACATTATATCGACCCTGAAGACCTCAAACTCGTACCAGTACATGATCTCGAGGAATATAACGAGGCTAATTGGGTAAGAATCAATGACAAGAGATCGTTTTGCAGTGTGGAAGTGTCAATACTATGAATACTGGAGAAGATTGGGCTCTTATGCAACGCTGCACCAATGAAGAAGTTGCTATTCGTCGATTGATGGCCACCTTCAATGACGAAGGCCATGAATTTGTTGTGTCAATCCCTGTCCTTAAAAATGCATCTACAACCCGCGAAGGCACCTACCGATGTATCAAAGATTCATGTCCAAAAGGTCCATTGGCACTTGCGACTCCTACCTCCGCAGCAACAATTTTAAACGGCGCAGTTACTGCATCGCCCATTCGCGATATTTTCGGACAGCCGACTGCAAAAGAGAGTGGTAGTGGTCTCCAAAAACCGACTGAGACTGCATCACAGACTAGCGACCATCTCCAGGCGCAGATTACACCACAAATTGGAAGCGTCACAAAATCGACAACTCTTATGACTATTACGCGTGCTTCGAACCTAGAAGATTTTTCTCCAAAATCTCCAATCGAAAACGAAGTTATCCACGCACCAACCAAACAGCTTCCAGAGCCTGAAGACCTACCAGCTGGTCGTTGGCTCGCCAAGAGAAAAGAAGATCCCTACATCACCGTTCCAAGACCCGAGTGCGTTCCTCCACCAGATGATTTCACCTTGTCGGGGAAGATCAGAACCGTCAGCCGCAATCCACGCAAGACTAGGTATACCACTTATGAATACTGGGGTTATACTTCGACTGCGATTATCCCTCCTGATCCTAACCGCCCGCCACCACTGCCATCTATTATATATCCAACTTGGGTAACAAATTCATTTTCCAAACATGGTCTTGCCGCAAAGTTTGGATGGATTATTTCAACATGGATTATTTTCGGAAGAGGGATATTGTAGAGAGAGTTTTGGGGGACTTGCAAGTTGCTGCTCGTAGGTAATAGGAAGATGTGGGTTAAGAGGAGTACTTGGGAAGAGGATTCGGAAATGGATTCACAAAGGCATCTCTTTGGGTGTCAATGGATTAAGAGAATAAGATTTGTTAAGGGACTTGGGTGGAGTTAGGATCTGGATGTAGGTCCATCTGCAAAAGCCTGCAAAGTAATGTAGTACCCGGGTTACAAGTGTACATACGTCTGACTTTTATAGATAGATAGAATAATTCCACAAGTCTGCTGTTTCAAGTTGCTAGCACTTTGATGCAGTATGAAATTATATAATAATAAATAGTGGCTAGTCTGACAGAATGTTTGTGACACTTCCTGTTATAACAATTCATCGAATCCTCGACAACAAAACATCGATCAACGCTCAATAGTATTATACAGGAAAGGTACCACCATCTTAGCGTGACTTTGAAGAATTCTTTGGCGAATCCTTTGATCAACAACAATCACGGCTTATCTGTAACCTGTGAGCTGCATGTCTTGCAGAGTACATATTTACGACGGCACAACATATTGAAGCAATTGTATAAATCAAATGACGTTTTCTGTGACCTGACATGGAAGATTATTTGGTATTAAATCTAGAATGAAGATATATTTTCAAAGTAATTCTGCAAGAATGTTTTAAGTTTATTCTTATTCGTTGGCTTGCAGTGCATCGAAATCACCAATTGTATCAGATTTTAGTGCCGTATTTCGTGTCATTTGATCGCCCTCATCACATCCCACCGAAAGAAAAAATAGTAGCCCCGCCATTCATCAAACCAGCCAGCCTTACCGTATCTACCTACATTGATATAAAACCAACGAACAATTTCGAACATACAATACAACAAGAGATAACCTCATCAATCTAACGACAAATTCGAATAATCGCATTGATATAGCATCCGCGTAATAGGAATCACAACAAAATGGAGAAAATCACAGAAAAGATCGCGGCTTTGCCTCCAGACACCAATTACTTCTCCCTCGAATTCTTTCCACCAAAGACCTCAATGGGTTCTTCGAATCTACGTGCTCGTCTTGACAGAATGTCTCGAGCATTGAGGCCTTTATTTGTCACCGTTACATGGGGTGCTGCGGATCTTACTGCGATCAAGTCTTTAGAACTCGCAGAGTTATGTCAAAGGGATTTGGGCCTCACAACGTGTCTACATTTGACTTGCACAAACATGAGTCGAGCATTGGTGGATCAAGCATTGGAAGATGCAAAGGCATTGGGAATTAGAAACATATTGGCTTTGAGGGGCGATCCCCCTAGGAGTGAGGAATACCGTGCCATTGACGAGAAGAATGGTGATACGCCTGCTATGGATTGGGAGTTTGAGTGGGCAATCGATTTGGTACGATATATTAGAAAACAATACGGCGACTACTTTTGTGTTGGAGTGGCGGCATACCCAGAAGGACATGCGGATGAAGGACATCCAGAGGGTCAAAGCCTTGAACATGACCTGCCATACTTGGTGGAGAAGGTTCAAGCGGGCGCGGATTTTATCATGACACAATTATTCTTCGATGTCGACGCATACGACGGATTTGAACAAAAGCTACGAGATCATCCAAGTGGCGCATTTAAGGATATTCCTATTATACCTGGTATGATGCCAATTCAAAGTTATCAAATGATCAAGCGAACTACGAAACTCAGCCACGCGAAACTACCCTCAACTATTATAACAAGATTGGATGCGGTTCGAGGGGATGATGAGATGGTTAAAAAGGTCGGGGTGGATATTTTGAGCGAAATGGTCGAACATTTGAAGGGCACAAAATCTCAGTACTCGGGGCCTAGAGGTTTCCATTTCTACACTCTCAATTTGGAGAAGGCGGTATCTTTCATCTTGGAACGAACAGAGCTTATTCCAGACGCTGAAACCGTCGCCGCTCTGGAACCAGAATTCGTTCCTACCATTCCAGATATTGCAGATTTAATGTCTATCCATAGTGGTTCTCACAAACGTAGCTCCAGACGTCGATCATCTGTTGGATCTGATCCTTACAATCGCATTATAATTACTGCACCTCAAACCTCCAATCCTAGCTTTGAAGCCACAGCACAAGAAGCTGGTATTCCAGCTGAAGCTGTCAACTCGCGAGCCAATACTCTTGCAATCAGTGAAGGAGAAGGTAGTCTTGGTCGAGAGGCCACATGGGATGACTTTCTAACGGTCGTGGGGTGATGCTCGTTCTCCTGCTTATGGAGAGATTGTGGATACGGTGTTTTCACTTCACATGTCCATTAACCAAGCTATCAAACTTTGGGTCATCCAAGTTCAGAGCTGATATCACGGACATCTTCATTCGTCATCTAGAGTCAACTCAACCGCCATTCCTTGGAGTGAGGAAGGTCCAATGAAGAAACCAACTCTATCAAAAAGCAACTCCTGAGTCTCAATAAGAAGGGTTGGTGGACGGTAGCCTCCCAACCTGCAGTCAACGGACTCAAATCCTCAGACTCAATTTTTGGATGGGGACCCAAGAATGGATTCGTATTCCAAAAAGCATTCGTAGAACTCTTCCTTCCAACAGCTGATTGGAAAACCCTACATGCTAAACTCACATCTCCTGAACTCCGGGACACAGTCTCTTTCTACGCCTCAAATGCCAAAGGAGATTTCATATCCAGTGATGAAGCAGTCGGAAGCACAAATGCAGTAACATGGGGTGCATTCCCTGGCAAAGAAATCATTACACCAACGATTATTGAGGAGGTTAGTTTTAGGGCATGGGCGGAAGAAGCGTTTGGCATTTGGGGAGAGTGGGCAAGAGTTTATGGGAAGGATAGTCAAACGAGGAAGATTATTGATGGAATCAAGGAGGATGTTTGGTTGGTTAATGTTAGTCATCATGCTTATTGTGAGGGAGAGGGATTGTGGGATGTCCTTTTGAATTAGAAGGGATGGTAGCTTGAGATGGGAAATCGGATCAGGATGGATATTGAATGCGATGACTGCTTTGTATTTGGATGCATCTTGAGGTTTTAAATGAAATCGTCGGCTGCATGATTGGTGGGAGGGATTAGTTATAGGTGTTGGGCGTATAGGAGAATTATAAGATTGACTCTAATTGGATTTTTTGATTGTATGAATTGAGAAGATTTGAAAGCCTCTTGATTTTTCTCAGAACTTCTATTGTCTTTTTATTGCTTCATCATTATTGACTTGGTGTTTATTGGAAAACTATTTTCTTCTATTTTTTCGATATTTTTAGGAGAGAATTCTAACTCATGTCACACATTTATATACGATTCAACACACATCTCACACCCAAAACCTGAGATCTAAAACTCCAAAGTATAAAAACTCGCAAAACTTTTTATTCATCTGTAATTACTGACTGTCATTAACCATAATTATTTTCGTAATTCCCGATTCGGAAGAAGTGAAACGATTCGTCCGTCATGTGTCTGTCTGTCTGCCATCTACTCGCTCGCTAGCTATCCATCTACCGCTCAAACTCATCTTTCCTGAGAATCTGAGATTGTGAGAATTTGGAATGAATAAAGGGAATGAGTGAAAGAAGTGAATGAAACCATGATATCCTTCCTTGAAATTGAAAAATTGAAAAATTGAAATAACCACCACCATTATCATCAATCATCATCATCATCATTCTGAAGTAAATGAATGAGTAATCGAATGATTGGTGAAACGAACTAACTGAATAACTGACTAACCGACTAACCAGACCGGGCTGAATGAATGAAGGAAGGAAGGAAGCAAGTAAGAAATATGAACCATCTGAAGCGAACCAAGGAATTGAAAAGAATGAAAAGAAAATCGAATTGAATCGGATCGAATCGAATCGAATCGAAGTGGATAGAGAACTCGCAACCTGTTGTGTTCATCCTATCCCATCCTATCCTAAACTATCGCATCGTATCGCAATGTATCACAACCCCCTGCGAGAAATCAAAGACCGAGCCTGAGAATGCTTGGATTCGGGGAGTGTTTGTCAGCATGCTATCAACATTTGATTTTTCTCTTTCGAGAAAATCATCGAGTTGTTGTTTGTTGTGGGTTGTCGGAGAAAGAGAGGATGATGAATTGGATGGATGAGATGGATGAGATGGATGAGATGGATGAGATGGATGAGATGGATGAGATGGATGAGATGGATGAGATGGATGAGATGGATGAGATGGATGAGATGGATGATATGGATGAGTGGATGAGATGGATGAGATGGATGAGATGGATGAGATGGATGAGATGGATGAGATGGATGAGATGGATGAGATGGATGAGATGGATGAGATGGATGAGATGGATGAGATGGATGAGATGGATGAGATGGATGAGATGGATGAGATGGATGAGGGATGGATGAGATGGATGAGATGGATGAGATGATGAGATGGATGAGATGGATGAGATGGATGAGATGGATGAGATGGGATGAGATGGATGAGATGGATGAGATGACTAGAGCAAAATTCGATATCTCGGTGAAAAGAGGGAGGAAATTTCTGCTATCGAATTGATTGAATAGCGAAGGAGGCGAGGAAGGAATCGAGTTGAATGAAGTGAACTGTGGATGAAAAATTGTAAATTGTAAATCGAAAGTCGCAAGTCGAAAGTCGAAAGCATAATTAGATGAGGTCCTCCGAAATGTAATCATAAAGTATTTGCGTGAAAAAAAAGCGAGGAAACGAAAATGTCGAAAATGGGCGTAGAGTTGAAACGATGAAGAGGGTTGTTGTGGATATCTTAGCAACGAAAGTAGAGTATCCGGATCCCGAATATCGTAGTTTGAATCTGTGATCGCTGTGTCGTCATCGCGCCATTAGATACTCCATCCCACGCATAAGGTCGCTCCCAATTCCGAAAATCTAAGACTCATCGTCGTAGAAAACATCTTCCTCTTCAACTCCATCACCTCCGTTTCCATGAACAAGACGAAGATCAAGACCATGACCGTTTCCATTTCCGTGACCATAACCATGACCAAATCCACCACCACCAAGCATATCCTCATCACCATCCGCAGCGCGACCAAAATCATAAGCACCAATATCCTCATCCTTGATGATCAGATCGTCGTCGCCCTCGTCATCGGAATCACATAGCTCTTGATGTTAGTCTTTGCAGCTCGGCTGGGTGTTGCCGGCTTCTTTTCGACGCGGCCGCCCTTGACTTTGTTGATTGTTTCCTTCTTGACTGGAGAGCCCTTCTTGGATGGCGTAGCCATTTCCATGTCACTGTCATCATCGCCCTCCTCATTGCTGGATGCAGCGGCTTTCTTGGTGGATTTCTTGGCTGAACGAGGAGCACGAGCCTTCTTGGGGGTCGTACCTAGGGAATCATTAGTACCGAGCGGTGAGTTGAGAGCCCAAGCAGGTTCTTTGCGCATTCTGTTGTTTATGTTAGTTCTTCTGTTTTTGAATGAAGGGAACAGAGCGGATACGTACCTTTCGAAGCGAGTGGATATAGCCTTACCTGTAACACCATCACCAAATTTCTCGGCGGTGGCTGAAAGATGTTAGTGAGACATTCCTTCAATGAATGAGTGGTAGTGATGAATGGGCGATGACAAATGAAACATGAAGGCGTGGGTGTGTAAAATCAACACGAGGATGAAGGGAGTTAGGAATAGCAAGAACCATTCTTAGCAGCAGCTTTGATGGGTCGAAATCGATGCTCCAGAGAAGATACGGTGGTGCCATCATCCAACCACTTTGCCATTGCTATGACGTACATTAATATCTGATCTGAGTTTCTCAAAACTAAAGAAAGGTATGTGCTAGCGACGAAATGAAATTGAGGAATGGGGTAACGGGGAAATTCTCGCATATGTTAGCACCAATATTGAGGGTTTGTGGATCAATTCCAGCCTTGAAAGCTTCGCGCTGGCGATGTGCATTGATTGGCTTTTAAAGCTCAAAATTGAAATTAAATTCCGCCTTTGGTGGAGTCCTTGCCGAACATGTTGCTAATTTCTAGATAGCTGGAGAGATGAATGATGTGTTCTTCATGTTGTTGTGTAACGGAACATAAATTAAAGGAAATATTAACGAAACAATATCGCTTTCAAAGAACACTCGCCCTTATTGCCGCGTTTTCTAGGATCAGGATTCAGAGCTGCGTCAAAGTCCTTGGGATCTTTTCCGTTGAGCACTGCATCTTTTTGGATCTTAGCACCAGCTCTGATGCCGCGAAATTGCCATTTAATTGAGCTGACGTCTGTGTCCGAACCGAAGTGCTTCGCCATTTCTGTTGACCAACATTAATATTGAGAACAAAACGGGTGTAGAGTGCTAGGGAAATGTGCATGTATTCAAGGCCCGCAATGGAATATGTAAATCAAGAGACCATTGGAATTGAGTATGATATCTTTGCAGTCTTTGCCAGCAGCTCTCGCACTGCGAATCTGGTCGACATGCTTCTTGATGGTGGTTGCAAATTGGAATTTGATTCTACCAGCAGTAGCATCTGAACCAAAACACTTTTGAACTTCTGGGAGAAAGTTAATATGTGCTTGAAATAAATATGTGTGTAGAAGCGTAAGATGAAATAGATCGAAAACTGTCAATTAAACATGGTAGAACTTCTAACCAGTCTTGCCGCCAGTGACAATATCAACCGTTGAAGGATTTTCGCCTGCAGCAAGCATGGCTTTCTGACGTTTGGCGATGACCTTGTAACGAGTGTCGAATTGAAATCGAAGACCGTTCATAGTGGAATCTCCCATGAATTTGTCCATTTCTGCAATTGATCAGCCATGGGCATCATGTAACAGTTATTGCAGAGAGCTAGGTGATGTTTGATAATAATAGAAGAAAAAACACGAAGAATCAAGATGACAGAATTCCTGACCATCCTTTTCCTTCTTGGCAGGCATTAAACCTTCCAGATCAACACTCTTGGGATCTCGACCGGCTGCTCGCATCTTGGTTTGGCGACTGCCAAGAACCTTGATACGCTTTCCAATCTGTTGCTTAATAGCATCAACGGTAACATCTGATCCCATAATTGCAACGATCTCTAATATTCAAGGTATCAGTGCTGGCCAAATGCGGTTGAAAGGATGTATGTGCTGTGCTGTGATAAAATTGTTCAAAAAAACTGTAAATAGATGACAGAGTTTCTGACCACCTCCTAGACCATCAAGGCTGACTTCCATAGAGTCTTGACCTGCTGCTAGCATCGACATCTGACGTTTGCAAAGAACTTTGACAGTCCGACGAAAGTGATTCTGGAGAGATGAAGGAGTAGTGTCTGATCCCATAATCCTTGCAGTCTCTAATAACGTGATATCAGTGGTGCTCAAACAGAATGGAAATCAAAAAGTCAATGCAGCGAAACATGACCATAAAAGCCAGGAGCAAATTGTTGACAGAACTTCTGACCACCTTTTGGGTTGTTTAAGGAGACATCCAAAGGATCTTTACCGGCATCAAAAAAAAGCTATTTGACGACGGGAAAGAGCTCTGATGGTTGCATTGTACTGGATCTTGATAGCTATGGGAGTGACATCCGAGCCCATGTACTTGGCAACCTCTGGACTCAAAATCAGTTCTGTGCAAACATAAAGAAAGTGTGATTGGTGTGTTGAGAAGATACGGTAATGTTCCACAAAATATGAACAGAGCTTTTCCTAAGAATGAAGATATCACCAGACTTCTGTTGACTACCCAATTTGTCCAAACTGGCATCCTTGGGGTCTTTGCCAACAGCACATAAAGCATTTTGACGAGCAGCCAAAACTCTGAAGCTTCGACTGAACTGTGCTTTAACACTAATAGGAGTGACATCTGATCCCATCTTTGCAGCAATCTCTAAGGGATATCAGTGGATTTCAAAAGCAAGGAAAGGTGATGGGTGCTGTGTGAAGATGTGAGAGCAGTCTCGAAAACATAGACAGAACTTCCTGACCAGCCTTATATCGGCGAGTACCCAAGTCTGTCAAATCAACATCTTTACAGTCCTCGCCGGCATCACGCATGGCAATCAAGCGTTCACCAAGAGGTTTGATGGTTTCTCGAAGCTGTGATTGGATGTGACTAGCTGGAGTTGCTGATCCCATAAGCACGGAAGTCGCTAATGCAGCATTAGTGTAGGCAAAAAGGGACAAATCTGTGCTCTTGTGATATGGAACTTGAAAGACGAAAAAAACATAAACTCATTCCCACCCTTTCCCTTGCAGGCAACCTCTCCATTTGTATCGCCCACATTCATGAGGATAGGATCTTGTCCTCTGGCAACGGCAGCGTTGATCAGTTTAGCATCAGACTTCAAACGCCTAAATCTGTTGTCAAGCGCAGAGGCAGTGCAATCTCCACCAAAGCGAATGCTGATTGCTGTATGAAAATCAATACACGAACGAGCAGAATTATCCGCGAAATTTTCATTGTGCATGAAGAAAAGATTGATGAACAATAACTTATGCTCCACGATGAATGATACCTTTCTTAACGCTAAAATCGTTCTCGAGATTGACGGTAGAGGCATTGAGTCCTGCATCGACTGCTTTTCGGAGGCTCTCGGCATTACGCTTTATGCCACTCATACAACGCCATATTTGGTGATAATTTGACTCATCTCCGTAGTATTTGGATATTGCTGGTAAAATCAGGGATCAAAGACAAAAGAAAGAAGATGGAGAATGATTAAACTTGCGAAGGCCAAAACTAAAGAGGGAGAATTCTTAATGAAATTGTTTACTAACCTGCGTAATCGAGTTTGAGATTTGGGTGTGCAGCAACAATGGCGCTGAGGAGGCGAACTACCATCGTGTGAGTATAAATGTAAGAAAAGTGATCGTTTGGACAAACCAGTTGCTTCATAAGACTTCCAATTAGGCATGATTGCGGTATTGGAAGGTCTGCAGATAGATGGATCAGTATGGTTATTTTACTTTGGATAGTCGAATAGACCGGTAAGTCGCGGTAACAAAAGCACGTAGAAGATACAAGAGTAGGAGGTGGAAAAGTATGACTAGAAAAGAAAGAGGAAGTGGGAGAGGAGATGAGAGAAAAAAAGCAACGACGATAAGAATTATCGATAGTGCGTGATCAACAGTGAATTCTCATTATGCTCAAGTAAAGGTGAACAAGATCGAGAGACTCAAACAACGCACTTGGCGACAATTATGAGGAAAATGTATTTGTCAAGATTGACAGAAACAGAGTATTGATGGATGGGAATGGTCGAGTATAGAAAGTTATTGTAGGAAGAGAACAATAACATACTTGGTTGGGTGTTTTGTTGTTATGTGTTGCTATGGAGAGTGCGCCTTGTGCGATATCGACGACGACGATCTAGAAATCCAAATCAGTATTAGTAACTCATAGACCAGGATCATTTCTATTCAAGAAAGTGATAATGGGAACAGGAAAAGTACTCACAGTAGTCAAGAATGCTATGCGATAGATGAAAATAGATGATTGATCAAAGTATTGTTGAAGTTAATGGAGGTTGTAAAAGGTTGTTGAGGTTGTGGGGGAAAAGAAAGATGTGCGAAAATGGGTCGAGATTTGGGACTTTAAATAAGTGAATTTTGAGCAGCCAAAAGAAGCGGGAAGAAAGAGCGCCAATAGGGAAATCAGGTTTCAGTAATCTAGAAATCCTGTAAGCCTGGTGTTGTCTATTGTTCAAAGTCTGAATAGATTCAAATAATTCAATGTCAAGCGCATATTTTATACCGGTCATAACACAGTGAGGAATAGACATTTTTGATTGAGCCAAGTTTCCAATCTATTCTACACAGCAGACCCTTCATTTCTGAGCTAATTCGACTAATCCAAGATGATGGTTGTAATTATTTTCTATTCTTCCCTATCCCAAAGATACTTCAAGTACATTGAATTCTCCAGATTGTCTTCCCAAGATATTCACAATTGCACGTTTCTTCCGCAACAATAGCGGGGTCCTCGCACGGACTGAAACCCGATAGATTCTTGATGTAGGCATATGGGTATGCTGCCTGCGGGAACTTTTCCGTGAAACTTGGTGTATATTGGTTTTGCTTTTTTCGTTTGTTGCCATCGGATACCAGCATCATCTTGTGCGACTTGATACTTTTTTTTCGTTTTTGATTACATGAGGAGTCTGCTGCCTAATCATTTGTATTTCAAGAAACAAACACAAGAAATAGATTCAGCTATTAGGCAATTATGGTAGTATATTGGAAAGATTCTAAATCAATGATCCAGAAAAAGATCTCAATATTCCAAGGTGGTCTGATACATCATTTTGAATACTATCAGATATCTACTACATTTCAAATAACTACAACAGAATTGGGAAAATAGCGAGAAAAGATTGGAAATAGATAGAACAATTTTAAGAATTAAAAAGGAATAAGAAGAATAACCAATTAATATTCGCAAGCTGATCCAATTGGACAATGACTAGTGTCCAGTTGTTTGCAAGTAAACTGCTGAAGCAGTATTCAGTGGATGTACTTCGAACTCGCTGCTTGAAAAACAACAAACACTCGCTGCATATTGCCTGCAATAATGAATCCACGACATTAGTCTCTAAAAGCTCCTTTCCGTTGCGCGAGCAGATAATGTATGCATAAACCCAAATTCCCTCGGCTTCAAATGACCCAACGTGCTGCTGATCCAAAGGTGTGCAAAAACCAATGAAACGGGATGTCTCCCCACCTTCCCCAGGAAGAAAGATCCTCGGCCTTATCAATTCCGCCAACATACCTATCATATTGATGCCGGATGTATCCTCTTTTGGGATATGATACAATAGAATGGACCCAATAATCTTAGTGTCTTAGCATGTCCTGAATTGTATTCTACACATCTTCAACGACTTTATTCGTTTCCTGAGTGGTCTGCTTTGATTTCTCAAATTCCATCCCCAGAGCAGCAATAGCATTTCTGGCACAAATTGCAGCATCCCAATTACCTTCTCTCCTAGGTACAATATCTAGAAGCACTTTTATGGCCTTTTTCCGGGTAGAGATAACCCCGAACATCGCCGCTGCCATAAGCGATGGTATAATCCCAGCATGAAATACAAATCCCTTTTCAAAATTTGGGTGGGCAGCGACTATTTTGCAAATTTCCACGACCTCTTCAAAGCTGGATTGATAGAAACGAGCTGGGGTTTGTGGAAAGAAAGCCGAATGAAAGCTATTACGTGTTGTTAACCAGTGCGCTCGTAACATACGAATACTCATAATGTCGACATCTTCTTCTCTGGCACGCATGGCCAATGGCTCAAAAGCAATCTGCCATTGATCGAGTTTGTCTAAGATCTCCTTGAATTCAACCGCTGCTGGAGACCAATCGAGCATTCGATGATTCCATATCGCCGAATCTGATATTTCTTCTTCCGTGGGCTCTTCTCCTCCTCCTCGAATAAGTGTTACTGTGCTCATGAGAAAGCTGATGACCTGCCTGCAAATTGACGTGAAATTTGCACCCGCATCATCGATGCTTATAAACCGCGTTGGAATCAGGCTGGGAATATACATTTGAGTTCCATGTATGATATCTTGTGCTTGTGCTATCGTGGGATCGATGGCGGAAACCAATCCAATATGCGTGCTATGAAACGTGGCAAAAATGACGTCTTCAATGATATTTGGGGCTGGTGATAATGTTGGATCCGCTACCTGTCGCTTTTCGCGGTCTTTCATCCATGCTTGAAGTAAACTTGCAGCGCTTTGAATCTGGGTTATCGCCGCCATTCGATTTCCGTGAAAGTTCTCAAAGGAGAATATAAGTAATGTGGCAAGTAAAGTCATTCGAATAGGTATGAGCTTTTTGATTCCACCAAGAGCTTTACCATATTCCTGTATGGCAAATCTATAATCATCATTCATCGCCATAAGCTGACCCTGCTTGCGTGCTTTCATGACCCTACTGAGAGCCCCAATTGCACAGACAGCCTGGAGAATACATGGTTCCTGATGACATGCTTGAAGCATAACACTACTCCATAGTTCAGAATAAAATCCGCCAAAGACTTGGATCGTAACATCGCTACAGAAGAACCGAAAATATTGGAAGTGTCTTGGACTTTCGAATTTGATATCAGAAATGCTCTTTATAGGACCATGACTGAAAAGTGATTGCCCAATAGTATTCGCGACCTCCTTCGGTAGGATTGTTCTCCTGGTTGCGACTCTAGATTTTGGAATTTCACGTGTTAAATAGCCACACTTTTGAGAAGTGCCTTTATAAAATATTTTACAGCGACTACACTCTGGCTTTCCTTCATCGCATTTAATCCGTCGAGTTCTGGTGCTTGTTAGCCATAGGAACAAAATAATTAGGCTTGTCCGGGAGACAGACTTGCATGTTGTACAACCCGAGTGAACTTTCGGCAATCCTCTTCGCTTTCGTAGCGGTCTCGACGTTTCTTCTCCTGTACTAAGATCTCGTTTTAGCTGCGGTGGAGGTGTTATAACTAAGAACATTTTCCGGACGGTGTTGGAAGAAAATGTCGAGATGGCTACAAATGCAGCTGTAGAACACCAAGATTCTGGCAGGGCTATGTGCTCAAATGTAACGTGACAAAATGGCTCTTTTGTCCGTCACAACCGAGTATACAGCTGATCTTTACCCTTGTCGGAATATATTGAACGCTGAAGGAACTGGTGGGTCATCCAAGCCGGGAGATAAAACCGAACTCCCATTTTTGACATCTGAAAGCTTTTGGCATTCCAATTTAAATTGAAAAAATCAATTAATTTCTGAGAAATGAAGCTTGACAACACCTCTCGAAAATCTGATTCAAATTTAGTGTTCCAATAGCCTTTGCAAGTGTATAGGTGTTCAGGTTTTCTCCAAGTTGCCAGCCAAAATCAGAATTCCACCTCATCGTGAAATACGAAGAGTGTGCCGACAAGGCGATGTACTGGGTACATACTTGTACAACGTTGTCGGAGCCGCCGTGCATGAGGTCCTTGCACTTTCCATTCCTGGTCCTGGGGGTATGTCTACCCCAATTCGTGGAATCACTCATATGAATGACAGGGTACCCGCCCAGACCCAAGATTCAGCTTATCAAGATAAGCATGATTCCTTCACACTGACAAAGAAGATTGAACTTCAAATACACACCTTGGTGTATTGATATATGTGAAGGTAAGAAAAGATGGACACTTTAATGGAATATTCATGTTTCATCAGCTGAACAGGTCATTGATCGTCGCATTTTATACGGAACTTTTGAAGAATTCTCTGATGCCAGTCCCGAGAGACGTTTCCATTGACACACCAGCGGATGATTCTTTTCACGGTTGATTCGGTGGGGAATTTTGCCATATCGAAATTGGACATCCCGACCCGAGACCCACATCCTGGCTTAGCTGCAGATCCTCAAGACATTTCCGGACATCAACCACTACGAAATGGTTTTGGTACTTGGAGTGCACGTGAAATGATGAAATTAAAAGGTGCCTCTTTCTCCACTCCGAGGGCCATTTCATTAGAGTCATTGAGCCCTCGAGCTTGGATCATTTCTTCAAAACTCTCGATGGGGCAAGAATTTATATCATTCAACAAAGTAAGGCGTTTTGAATTTTAAACATTTAAATGTTGGCCGATGCTTCCTAGAAAGGTTCCAAGAATACGGTTTCAATTTTCTGGGTTTGAAAACTGGTATCCTATTTTAGCCTAGATGGCTGAGGAAGAATCGATCGATCGACGTCACTGACAAGCTAAAACGCCCAGCGTCTTCGCTTCCGGAGTTGGCATAAGGTCATAGAAATGTTTCTAGTCTTGTGCGGGGACAAACGTTCTCTTCTAACTTGATAAAATTGGTATGGAGAGCCTCTGCCGAGTACTAAATGGCGGGAAATATGGCCCTTTATGCTGGCGCCATTGCTCGGCACTGGCTATGAGCCGAACCTAATCTGTATGGAGAGCCTCGTCATTGTCCATGATGACTTGAATTGTCTTGCCTATGAGACATATCCCAGATACATAGCAGCACGAATCCTCGTCCTGAATGTTTTGCTCACCATACATCGCAGTAAGGATCGAAGAAGAGAATCTATCATTCAGCAACAAGACAGTAGCAGTTCTCTTCAATTCGAGTGATTCCACCACAGCACAGATTTCGACTGAATTGAGGGGGTTTTATAACAATGGCAACTCAGGAATCCGAAGATCCGGTTCGAATGCTAGTTCTTGAGACAGATTCGCCACATCCTGATATTAGAGACGAAAAGGGTGGCTACAGTGATATCTTGAACGCTTTATTTCAGGATGCTGGGAAAGAACACGATCCACCCTTGAAAATAGAGACAGAAATGCACTATGTTGTCGATGATCCTGAAAACGGTCATCATGGACACGTTCCTCAAGTCTCCGATGTCGATCCATCGATCAACGCCATATTGATTACGGGAAGCATGTACGACGCTCATGGAGACGACCCATGGATTCAACGACTGCTGCAACTTTTGCGAGATCTTTGGATTGAACGAAAGGATATGAAGTTCAGTGGTGTTTGTTTCGGTCACCAGATATTATCGCGGGCTTTAGGGGCAAAAGTAGAGCCAGAGCCGTCTGGAAGATGGGAATTGTCACATACGGAGATGGACTTGACGTCTGTGGGCCAGAGACTGTTCCAAACGAAAGACAAGAAACTTAGTCTACATCAAATGCATCAAGATCAAGTGACTATTGTACCATCAGCGTCGACAACTGATTTGCTCTCTGAAGATGATAACGTTGAAAATTGGGCCAGTACTGAACATACAAAGATTCAAGGTCTGTATTTGAGGGAGAGGCTGTTCACCAGTCAGGGACACCTTGGTTTTGACGAAGATATGGTACATCTCGAAATTGAAATGCGTGTTGAGAGTGGCGGAATCAAGGATAAGGAGGTTGCAGAGAAGGCGAAGGATACCGCACACTTAAGGCACGATGGATTGGCTGTTGCTGGCGCAATCTTGAGGTTTTTCCATGGAGATGATCGGGACATTCCATGAAGGGGTTATTGCCATGAATCGTCAGATTCGGTTGAGCGAATTTGTTTTCTGAATTTCAGCGACAGTTAGCGCACAGAAATATTTTTCATCGTATTTACACAATCTGGAGGCTGTGGATTTGTGTCATTTTCAGTGAAACTGTTGTTCGATAGTATATTTCAGGCTTCTAGAACATAATGAACTGAACTGGGCCCTGGTGATCTGTCTGTGGTGTCAACGGCATGAAAAGGGAATGGATATCCACCGATGGATAAGCCAAAACGGCTCTATCTCAGCTGTACAACCAAAGGATCTCATTGACGCTCTCCAAGAAAAGCCCCCTCGCGCACCGACGATCAATGGTAAGGTGTCACAACATCAATGGTCATGGAAACAAGATTTGGGGTTTTCTGATATTAAAATAGATCGATATTGGAACGGTGACATTCTCATTAGTGATTCTAGTAGGAGATGTTGGGGTGGTACAGCATGCATACTACCAAAATTAAAATTACATAAGCGACACATTGGTCAAGGTCGTACACCCGCATACCACAACACTTTCGTCGAAACCCATTCAATCCTTCTCCTGCTGCAAATGACTATAAGAGATTTATCGTCCAACTTCTCACACAATACGTACCATTTCTCACAAAAGATGTAGTACCATCAACCCCAGCTTCGCACAACAAGGTGTTCAAAATTCCGCTCAAGTGATGGAAGCGGCTGAATGTAACGCAAGATTACTTACCCATGTCCCCTCCCCGCGTTTTAGGGAGATTAAGGATTCCGAACCAACACACTAAGAACTGTTCTGCCGTTGAATACGAACAACAGCGGAAGGATTTTGGAATCCTACCCAGGCTGCAGAATTCTACCGCCGTCACTCAAGAAAGAAGCATAACACATAATGACGATAAGGCTATGCAACGCTGAAGAATGTGGAAATGAAGGTGTCGATCTTACCCAATATGCGGCTGATCGTCGAGAAATAAGTGAAGATATAAAAATATAGGAATGTAGCATCGTCATGTTTCTCTTTCTTATCTTTCTATTTAGTATTTACCGTAAATTTATGCTCATCATTTATTCCATTTCATTTCCATTCAATAATCCAGAATCCTCAACTATGTCTTTCTCCAAGATTTTTATTGCCTTCGCAGGTATCATAGCTGTCGCTTCGAGTAACCCTCTTGTTGCTAGAGCATCAACTGCTTGCTCAACATCTAGTGGGCCCGGCTTCTGTCAGAGCACTTCGAGCTCCTGCTCGGGTGGAAAGTACATTGCTGGTGCTTGCCCAGGAGGGGTCGATAATCAATGTTGCGTAGCAACATGTTCCAGCGGAAAGGGTACATGTCAAGCGACATCCATCGCCTGCTCTGGAGGTTCTTTCAGTAGCGGTCTTTGTCCCGGACCGGCTGATATCCAGGTACGCCTTTTTCACATCTCCAAAGCTCCATATACTGATAGCCATTAGTGCTGCATCAAGAGTGGCGGTGGTACTACTCCACCATCTACCGGTGCTGGTTCTGTAGGCTTCGATATATCTCAACTCGGCACCTCAGCATTCTTCGAGTGCGCCAAGAAAACCAAAGACGTAGTCGCTATCCGGGGATATCAGCAAGCTTGCGGAACCGGCGGTCAAGTAGACAAGAACTTCGTGGCCTCCTACAAGAACGCCAAAGCCGGCGGTTTCACCCGCATCGACTCCTACATCTTCCCCTGCACCGGTACACCCACCGGCTCCGAGCCCAACTGCAAGAGCGTTGACACCCAGATGGCCGAATACCTCAAAGTAATATCCGACAACAACATGGACATCCACACTCTCTGGCTCGATATCGAGCCCACATCCGTCTCCAATTCTCCCTGCAATGCCTGGAATCTCGGTGCTGCAGTCAATGAAAAGCTTGCTAAGCAATGGGTTGCAGCAATGAAAGCCACAGGATTAAAATGGGGAATATATGCAAATGGTAACCAATGGAGCGGCATGTTTGCCAGTAGGAGTACAGACGTTGGAAGTGATTTGCCTTTGTGGGCTGTGCAAGAGGATTACAAAGAGGGTGTAAATACAGTGACTACCTTTATGGGGGGTTGGACAAAGGCGGTTGCTAAGCAGTACAGTCTTGGTATGTATACTTTGATCTCTTTCTCATTCCTTCTGTCTCCGATTCGAAATTTGCGCGATTAGATACTGACATGTGCTATAGATACTACCTTATGTGGTCTCGGTGTGGACTTGGACTCCTTTGTGTGAGTATTGGAACTTGGAAGCCGAAGGGGCATCGAACCCATGATATTTCCTCAAATTGTAGAAACTAACCCTCTTTGTCGATATTCTTGTTTTTAAATCAGTTCGAATATCATTCCGTCTAAGATCATCACACTTGTGAATAGCCTTGAATTATCACCGCATGTGTGCATGTGTCAGTGAAAGTGAAAGTGTGTATGTTCCGAGATGTGGCACCGTCACACAAACGTGGCATATCTTTTCGATCACAGTATTACGGGCATTAATTAGACACCTGAGTAAACCTTATTAGCAACTATTTAATTTAGCCTCGCCGATGCTCCTTCCCTGCCATCTTATTATACATGAAAAGCCAAGGGTATTCCCAAATCCAACGCCATGCCAGATCCCATTTGCATTGTGTCATATCGTATCGTCATATCTGAAAGTAGCATCTATCTATCGATTGATCTTCATATCCATCTAAACAATTCCAGCCTCAGTACCTGTTGCGCCTCTATCAGCACTCTTTCTCGCCGGACTATCAAGTTCTTCGAAATCCCTCGCAGCAATCTTCGCATTCTCCAAAGCGCAATTGAAGCGTTCCTCTCCCGGTGGAAGGATGGCCGCAAGGTATGTATTGGTCGTAAATTTAACAACAAACATACTAAAGTTTGGCATCTTCAATTCAAATAAACTGAACTGCTCGGCGGATTTGGGTGTACCGGTATAACGAGAGGTGCTTTGTTTGAAGTTTTTGATAATATTCGAAAGACGCTCGAACCGATCAGTGGTAGGATTCGCTTCTCCCTCTGGGGAAGTCCAGCTTGAGACGACAAGGAAAGACGAGCGCTCAAATAGGAGAACCTCTTCAGCTTCAATGATAGTACCGAGTGAAGAGAGATGTCTTTCGATTTCTCCGAGATTGGGAACTAGATCGTGAATGATTTCCGCCCATGCCTTGTAAAGCGATTGATCCCAGATAGATGTTGCGAATGGTACGATATTGAATGATTCTGATTTAGATCGGACGAGTGAGATTCTCTCATGAAAGATATCCTCTCGTTGGTTCGGAAGGACAAGATCCATCTTATGAATCAGGACATAGATACTTGCGGTTGGTGAGAATTGAGTGAGTGCAGTAATGATCGAGCGATATGTTAAAAGATCACGATCGAAATCCCGAGATTCGATATCGAAAACGTAAATGAGGACGCCGACACTAGAGAATACATGTTGACGTTGTTGAGATAAATAGTTTTCCATGAACGCATCCTGACTATATTTTTGTTAGCCGTGTTCAAAAGTCTGAACTAAATACACAGCAACGCAGACTGTAATGATATGGAAAATTCAATATTAATCTGCGAGCAGTATGAGAGACCAATTTGTTATCTTGTAAAGTCTGCCAAAACTCGAATGTAACTTGCGATGACTACCCCGCACCCCATGTTTATGGAAAGCTCGAAAACACCATAAAACAAGAACTCACCCTCCACAATCCCATAGATTGAGTGTTAAATTTCCTAGAAATTTGACATGGCTAAGATCGACATCAATTGTTGCTCCCAATCGTCTTGTATCCTTTGCGACATAGTTCGAAAAGATAATGCTTCTCATAGAACTCTTTCCCGAACCCGACTTTCCCATCAGCAGAACCTTCTTCTTTCTTGGCTTTTTGGATTCAGATGGAGAAGATACTGCGGAAGCAGCAGACTCCTCTTGCTGTCGATGATTCTCCATTTTTGGCTGAGGTACAGAATTGGTGGAATTAGAGAGAGATTGGGAGGTCGAAGCTTGAGCTTGACCTTTTGAACCAGAGGTAAAGCGGTGAAAGTAGTCCATGGTGGAGTTCGGGGAAACTGTTATTCCGAATGATGGTCTGAGAGAGGAATTTAGAAGTATGAACCAAATAATCTTTTTGTCAAGGAAAAGAAGACTGACAATCCATAACTTCTTTGATTTTGGTAGAAATATATTCTCAAAGATGACAAGTTTAGGACAAACCCAACCCATTTGAATGGCAGGATTCAGTTTTGAGTAAAACTCTTATCCAATCAAATATTAGCCTGCAAACCAACCGAATAATCCCAATATCAACAGGACATCACAACAGCCTTCTGGCCTCTTCATATTATCCCTCACTCGTGAGCATGGATTTTCTTAGTGAGGGCCATGTATATTTCAGGTATTTGATTCTTATTAATATCAGAAAACACCACCCGATGTAAAATGAAGCTTGCTCTGTATCTATCGATACAAGAAACTGTTTATGAAGCTTGCAACTTTGTTATTGTTGAGTGCTATCCTATTAATTCCTCTCTACGGAGGTACAAATTTCCTCTATCCATGCCGGCTGGTAGGGTTTCAGTCGTGCTATAGGCTTCTATCTTGGCATCAACTCTCAATTGGAGACAATCCACTTGGGTAGTTTCTTACACCACGTTACCGTCAGGCGACAGGCGGATCAATCTGCCTTACAAGGGGTTTTACGCAGCCATTGCAATTTCAAAATGTGTGAGCATCCAGTTCAGGCTTGATTTAAGACCAATCTCACTGCTACCTTACCGATCGGGGCATTTATCTCGGTGGGATGCTCTCCCCTTTATCATTGGGTCGGCTCTACTACAACTCATTAAATCCTGAGCCTGTCAAGGGCAATGTAGATAGTAGTGTATGGCGGGGTAAATGCAGGGCACACGTAGGGCATAGATGGTTGTATGGTACCTCAATTACTATGATCTACCTTGCATTTCTGCGTGCAGATCTTTTTTTGTGTGATGTAGGCAAGAGTATTTCCAGTGGAGATCTGGTGGGCGAAAGGAATATTGCGTCGGATGACTCAGAGAATGTTGCCCTACACTCAGACCACTGAGTTTCAAAAGAGTGATTACAAGCAAAGTTCTCACGGTTGGAAGATATGAATGGAATTGTATCATTCCCCGTCGAGAGTACAACCTAAGACCCGCAAACTCAGATTCAAAATTTTGGCGCCTGGGAATTACCCGTTTGATATAGACTTGTATATCTAGACTTAAGGACCTTAAAATAGGTTTGGAATCACTTGCGAAGTAGGATTGCCAAGTGATGGAGTACTGGTAATTCATCCATATTCTAAAGACACGTTAAGTTTCTCGATCTCTTAGACAGCACTGCCTGGATTCTTGGATCCTCATTTGAATTTAAGACATGTTTATGGGAAATTCTTTGTCGACTATACAAATCAGGCCGAGTTGCAAGTCTCGTGGAATAGCCGACAAGTATCGGATGTGGTTTTCATTCATTCCAAGGTTTGGCACGATGACTTGTCAGCTAATTTTTGTATTAAAATGCTGCCCAGAACCCACTTAAAACTTCTTTGAAGCTGTATCTATTACTACCATGAGTCTGCAAGGCCTTTTTCTTAAATTCAAAGTGAACTCGATACTTCAGCCAGGGAGGAATGTCTTCAACCTTAGTCAGTATTGGGGCAACCAAATCCCCAGCGTAATGTCGTCTGAGCAGAGATTTTGCATGTGGTGCTCTACCATCACTGAAACTCTCTTGCTCATACTCAAGTATTCTTTGTTTTTGATGCACTGGTACTTCCATCAAACTAACGAGAGGTCCGCGTGAAGTAATCGTGATGTTGAAAACAAACGCATAGATGCCCAAGTAGCCTCTTTCCATACTAGTACGCTGGGTGAAGGTTATTATGGCTGTCATACCATTTGGCTGTAATTGATTGCTTTGCACTCTTATCCCATCCTCAAGTTTTACTAATTTCGTTTGTCGAGTGTTAGAAAGCCATTCAGTCGTCATGGTGAAGCCTAATTCTGCTAACGCCTTGGTCTCTATCCAAATGTCACAAGGTTCGAGAACCTTATTGATAGGTTGATGCTGCCTGACAAATATACTTTCCATATATTCCTGTATCCTCGATGCTGAAAATTTGTCTAGGCAGGGACTTATTCCAATTTCCAAATGCGAAAGTGGACTTCTGTCGAGTTGACGAATGTCAATTATTTCGACGGACTCGGGGTCAATTCTCGAAAATTCGTTACCACGATTGCGAATGAGGTATACTGCCAATACGTATGGGTTACCTGAATTGGTATTTCCCTCGTAGCAACATTGAAGAGGTGCAAGCTTGGTGTCTGATGGGTAGGCGGAAGGTTCGTGCGCGAGATGCCTGACATAACCACAAGAACAATCTGTGAAAGGCGTTGCAAGTGGTGACTCTAATTGTAAGCCCTTATTCGTCATCAGGTATGGTCTTCTCGTTGAATTTGGATTCCATTTTTGTATGGTGTCAAATGCTTTAGAGACAATCTCGGCGGAGTCGCGAAACGCTTTTGGAGAATGAGCTAGTAGCCCCCCTCCTATCTCACTTGAATCTCTCCATGCGAATATTGATTCATCATCAGATACAGCCAATATCTCAAGTTGAAGTCTCATAAAGGCTTTCTTGCCTTCTCCATATAATGGGGCCATGTTAACGTCGAATAGACCCAGGAGACTATAAGCCTGATCTTCAACCCTAGTTGTCGATCTTCGAGAAGCCCAAGACATCTTTTGGGCAATCGAAGCGCTTCTCCAGTTATTCATGTCCAAAATTCCGGTAATTGTTCGAAGTTCATCTTGGAGGTCTTCCTTTCTCCCAATTAGATCCCAATTTCGGTCGAAGAAAGTCAACTTTTTTGGAGCAAGTAGTTCTTGTAGTGTCCACCCCCTTGTGAACCAATCACTGGATTTTAATTCTGCCAGGTTTGAAGGATCAGGACGATTCTCAATATCGCTCAAATAGGCATAGCAAATTTCTGCTTTCTGATACCATTGAAACATGGAGTTGATAGCTTCTGAAAGCTCAGCACTGCTCGCTTTATCGATACAACAAGTATCAATCCAAACATACATCCAACCGTCTAGTCTGGCCTGCTTACAACATCCTTGAATTTTGGCGAACCCTTTTACATTCATGCAATCACCAGCTTGCATGTCATGAAATGTTACCTCTTTCTTGCCCCATCGGTGTGAAAGAATTGCATATGCTGGAATATGGCCATCGTAGAATTCCTCGAGGCATAGTGATGATGTGTTTATAAGACGCATTTTGTTCGGACTACAAAAATCAATCATTCGAAGTGAGGGTAGGTAGGAGTTGGCGGTGTGGATGAAATTCTCAGCCACATTTGCGGAAAGCAAAGTGTGGCGCCACACGTCAACTTCAGAATTCGGGTACTACCTACCTTGCCTAGGTATCACATTCCAATAAGTCTGTAGGTAGACAATCAGGGAAAGGATAGCAATTGTGATCATTTAATTCCAAGATGCACGGAAACCTGGGATCCTGAAAAGGGAAAAAGAAAATTATTGGCGAAAGATTGATTGTAGACCACTTAGAATTTCATTCAGAGTATCCGTACCTGAAGCTTGTATATCAATGAGTCTTCTAATTGTAGAAGAAAAGATCAAATCAAATAGTGGCCTATTAAAGAGGAGAATCGACTGTTGCAGTATCAACGACTGGGAACGAGAATAAGACTTTCCACCAGGACTGGGCCGCCAAGTCAGTAAATTGGCCAAGATGGCGGCTTCGCGTAGAATTATGAGTGCTTGCAGGCGGAAAGTTGCATATTACTGCAAGTGCCGCAACATTTGGGGCAGAACATATCGCACGCCAAAATAAATCACTCAACCTAAAGAGTCATCATGCCTTAAATCATTTTACCATCTGTTCTAATCATTGAGTTTTGAAATGGTACCAACAGTGTTTTTGTTCAGCTACCTAGTCTAATCAACGTCTCGAGTAATCAGTAAGCTCGCTCAACACAGAAGAGGATCTCCCATTTTCCATTCATTATAACAAATCGACTTTCAGAAAAAATGCACACCAAGTCCCATGTTGCCTAAAGTACCTAAGTGCAGTGGGTATCCCATCATTCTATCCAACAATCTCTCCCGGTCATGAAATCATTACGTCATTCAACACAACCCCGATCCAATTCATGATTTATGGGCCTCGCAATATGCTTTGCTCTTCTCAAAATCCTCATACTCGCAGTAGCACCAAGCGTTGAGACAAGAACATGTATTTCTCGGGTTAACCGGTTTGAAAGTTTGCCATCGCAGATATCCTTCCTTCCCAGTGCGAAGATTTTTAACCTTCACTCTGCCCCAACCTCGCTCGCAGGCTTCGAGAAATTTGCATCGATCTCCGATTTCAGTCTCGAGAACTGGACCAAAATCGTGAGGAAAGTGAGCATGTTGCTTCACAGCTAAGATGGCTCCGGGTGCTTGTCCAGCGGCTGTCAGGGGGTCGTTTACTTCTGGAAGTGTCTTTGTTGTAAAATTGGTTGCATATAGTGGGGAATTTGGATAATTGGACGTCTGAAGAGGTGAGGCTATCGATGAGTAAGTTTGGGTATACATTTCATCAACCTGTAACCAATCCTCCTCTGTGGGAAGTTTGAAATCCATACCATATAATCCACTCATATCCTGACCACCATAAACTGGCATCAGTCTTGGTGGACGGCGTGCAGAATATGCTTGCCAAGTTTCATAGACACATCGACATCCTACACCTAAGCAACCGCATTTTCCATCGTACGGAACCGGAAGTAGATCTTCCCAATCGATGGTTCCTGACATACTAGTACGAAGATTCTTAACTTCAACTTGACTGAAATTGTAATTCGCCAAAATCTCGACATAATCACCCACTTTTGCGAGCGGTGAACAGAAAGCCGTGGCTTTCAATGATCTCTTGATTGGAAGGATAGCGCCAATTTGCTGACCTTCAAATGTTGCCGCATCGTGAACTTGAATGGTAGATCTCTCATCTTGTGTGGTTTTCTTGAATGCCGTTGAAGGTGCATAAGTAACATTAGGCGGGGTGTCAAATGGTGTCATCGGAGGTATATTGTAGTCCATTCTGAAGGTCGTGGGAGAAGTCTGCTCGCCTAGATTATTTTCAAACATCTTTCAAATTGCTTTATATTGTGACTTTCGAGCATCTTCGATATTAAGTAAGTAAACAAAAGCATGAACTATGATCATTTAGTGCACTTCCATTTTTCCTCAGATTCAACACGCTTTAAAGCATAAAGCAGTATGATGTGTCTATCCGAAGGCTAAAACACGTTTTCAACGCCACAATCTTTCATTGGGACGAAATGACTCATGGGCATGGATTGAGCTGGTATACTGTGTTCACTTCTGGTCGTTCTCGAGCTGCAAGGAGTAGATTAATACAACTGGGCTGATATGATATTCGGCATGTTGCATTTGAAGCTGTGAATGGGTTGGGAGAAATGCAGACCGATAGGTTATCTGGACCTTGTAGATTGCAAAATGCCGCATTCGCATGTAAGGCTATCAGAAAATGATCTCAGCCAATATGATTGAAAAACCAAGTTATGGCGCAGTCGGTGTAACACATGCGGAACGAAACTTTTCGAAACTTTCGAAATGCTCATTTCAAAATAAGACAAAACGCGTGGTTGGTGAGCAAGTATAGAATCTGGTGAATGCGAGATTTAGGCCTCCCACCAAACGTGCTGCAAACAGCCTGTTCAGCCAATAATTGTATTTGAAGTTCCGTTTGAACCTTTGGACTTCGCCCATATGATATGCTTCGTGACGCGTCTGAAGTATATTGTTTCGGGTATTGAACATGGGCAGTGTCGCATACGTCACTTCTGTAGCGTCTATAATACACGATGCAGGCTCCAATCAGTCCTGGACTATCCATGATAATTGATAGATGTTCGATGTTGAGATATCACTCAAGTTGAGAAACACTGCGCAGTTGACGGGACGGCGCTTAAACATGTGTAGTTCTGCTGCAAATGCTGGATTTTGCTTTCTTTCTGTGTCAGCCACAAAGTTCCACCGTTAGGCTAGCCCTGGTAAGATTGAAACTCCCCGGGCCAATTGCACAATTACCAAAACCTGGCGAAGCAGTGGCGAAGCAATATCTGCGACTCTGAATCGCGGACGACAGCAGATTATAACGTGCGTGCGGAAATATACATTAAATGTAACCGTAACTAGATTTCCACCAGGCTTCAACTCAACCGGAATCAAAGCCCAACACGATGTTTGACTTTGCAACCTAAAATGTTTATGGGTCAACCAAGTATTCGACTGCTTCGCCTTTCCGTCTCTCGGCTCCAGGGCTCGAGCCGTGATGCAGGTTTACCAATTCTTAATCTCATCTGCTGTTTGTACTTTGGGAGTGGCAGTGCATGCAAGCCTCGTTGATCCCGTGATTTTGGCGTGATGTGATGTGTGTTTTGTTGCACGTCTGTATTTGAGATCATATTAAATTATTTTGAATAAACTTTCGAGTGAAGAAACGCAGAAATCACGTGAAATATTTCAAAATCCTTCTCAGAATACATGCATCCTGGTGATCCTTTGCCCATGAAGTTGGGTCGCAGAAAGGCATGGTTTTTGATATTTATAATTTCTATGGTAGGAGATATCTTGTAAGTGGAATCAATGATGAGATATTGATATCATGTTTTCAAGCTCGTACTACTCATGGGGTGAAGGTTTCTCAGTCTCTGGATTATATCCAACAAACACCCAAGACGCCTATTACGCCTAATATGCCAAAGACGCCAACCTTGAGTACTCCGTTTCATCCGCAAAAACACATTACAACATGACAGTGAGACAAACAAAAAGTACCTCCCATTCTATCGATCTAAAGCTTGCGCTTGACACTACATTTGATGATTAGCCTTCACTCTAGAATGTATATTACCAATTAGAACATAAGTGAACATACCATCTGCCAATACAACCCTCTCATTCCCAACAAGCGTCCATGACTTCCTCTTTCCACCACATTTCCCCTTTCTCCTAGGACAAAAATGACATCTGCATTCTGAACAGTCGCCAATCTATGCGCGACAACAATCATGGTTCTTCCCCTTCCGGTCCTTTCAAACACAGCTTGCACACTCCTCTCCGTCTCAGAATCTAAATTAGACGTCGCTTCATCTAACAACAACAATTTTGGATTCCGAATCAAAGCTCGTGCAATAGCAATTCGTTGTTTTTGACCACCCGATAGTGCGACTCCATGAGCGCCCACAGCAGTGTTGTAACCTTCGGGGAGTGAGGATATGAAGTCATGGATCTCTGCATCGCGACAGGTTTGATGGAGTACGGTGTCTGATACCTCTTCTTCGTCTGAGACGCCCAGGAGAATATTGTCGCGGATCGAACCTTCAAATAAGGAAGGTTCTTGCGCAACCAACGAGATGAACTTGCGATATTCTTCAAGAGAGATGTCATTGATATTCGTGTCTTGGTAGAGAACTTGACCACTCTGGATTTGATAAAATCTCTCGAGTAGGGATATAATACTTGTTTTGCCGCATCCAGATGGTCCAACAATGGCTGCGAATTGCCCCTTCTCAATAATCATGTCGAGTCCATTGAGCACTAGAACATCACGAGTAGGATACTTGAAAGAGACATTTTTGAGCTCAATTTTGACTCCGCGAGAGCTTTTCTCTGGATCGTGAGCATCTGCAAAGTCGTAAAGCACTGACTCATTATCGTTTTTATCTTCAGGTCTCATGCCATGGATACGATCTGCTGCTGCAAAAGCTTGCGCCACATTTGGTCCGAAACTTAGAGATTGGCCTGCGGTGGTACTCCCTTGTACGACGGCTAAGTATACAACTAGATAATTAAAAGGGGTATACTCATGGTCCGCCAGAAGCTGGCCACCATACCAGAGAACAAATGCCATACATAGTATAGCGATGCTATCGCTCATTGCGAATATAAAAGTTGAGAATCTAGCTTTCCGGAAAGCTTTCTTGGTATAATTTCGTAAAAGTTTCTCGTATCGTCCGCAAATCTCCGATTCTAGAGTAAGAGCTGATACTGTCCGGAACGCACCAATAGATTCAGTAGCGAATTTTGAGCTCTCAGCAAATACTTCGTTGTTCATTTTCTCGAATTGGGTTTCGTATCGAAGTCGGAAAAATCCTGCGGCTAGAATGATGGGCATCGTCGTCACCACGGTCAATAGAGTGAGTTTCCATCCAAAATAAAAGGACATTGCCACAGATCCAAAGATGTTAAACATAGAGATGAGCACGATTGCCATGTTGATTCCGAGTAACTGCTGAAGTTGGGTAGGGTCACTCGCCATTCTAGCTGTCAAACTGCCCACGGAGTTCTCCTCTTCATCATAGTATGATACAGGCTTTGAGAGCACATTTTGAAAGTATTCTTGGCGATATGTAGCTGTGATATTCTGACACTATTGTTAGTCGCTGAAGTAGCCAACAACCAACAAAACTTACGAATGAGACCGTGTTTGAAGACCATCCGAGGGCACAATAACTGAGACCCACACTGATGGCCAACAACGTAAACATGAAGCACCAATAATTGGTCTGGACTTGGAGAGCTTGTCCCCATAAATTAAATAGCGAAATGAGTTTTGCAAATAGAAATGCATGTAATGGGAATGAAGCACCAGCGCCCAAAGAGCTTAGAAACATTATTGTATACCATACCCATCGTGGCTTTTGTTCCCAAAGAAAAAGTACAAAGCTCCCCACAAGAGTTTTTGGCTTCGCTACAGGGAACCCCATCTCCAAGCTGGATGATTCTTCTGCCACATCAAGACTGATTCTTTCAAATGTTGGTGAGTCTATTCTTCGTTTCTCGGGGTCGCTAGGAGTATCAATTTCTTTTCTAGGAAGCTTGCCATTTCCCAGCTGTTGAGCATTTGCAAGTGCCCGATATGGACCATTTAAATCCATTAACAGCTGTTCGTGAGTTCCCTGTTGTACTACCTGTCCTTTCTTCATAACGACGATATTGTCAGCTTTAATAACGGTAGATAGACGATGCGCTATTGTGATCGTAGTTCGGTTCTTGGAGACTTTGTCCAGCGCAGCTTGAACTATTCTTTCACTTCTGACATCGATAGCGCTCGTTGCTTCATCCAGAATCAATATCTTTGGCTGCTTAACAATACTTCTTGCAATTGCCAGTCTCTGTCGTTGACCCCCACTGAGTTTTATCCCAGAGTCGCCTACTATTGTATCATATCCCTATAAAGATTTAGAAGCCTTTCAAATAAATGAATCATGATTTCATGGCTAGCATTACCTCTGGAAGTCGTTTAATAAATTCATCCGCAAATGCCTCCTTGCAAGCTCGTCTCACTAATCTCCTCTTCTTTTCGTGGGATTCATATTCCCATTTAGTACCTATCAGACCATATTCCACATTTCTGTAAATAGTGGTATTGAATAAAAATGGTTCTTGCTGAACGAGTCCTATCTGTGACCTCCACCACTTCAGGTCAATCTCATGTAATTTTCGGCCTCCGACAGTGATTGTACCATTTCGGAAGAAAAGTGTCTTGCGATTTCTTAGTGATGGATGACCTTTAAGCAATTTTTCATGGATCGAAACTTACAATGGCATTATCCGTGAGGTTTCCATCAAGCTCATACCACCTCTCGATCAACCCGACGATGGTACTTTTCCCTGAGCCAGATGCTCCGACAATAGCTGTCAGTTTTCCGGCTGGAAATCGAACACTGAGATTGTCAAGTACTTTCACATCATGCCTCAGAGGATAGGCAAAGTTGACATTCTCAAGAACGATATCTTCCCTGGAAGAAACATCCGGTGCCTTGAAACCATCTGTTTTTGGCTGTGGAGCATCAATGATACTGAAGAGAATACCCGCAGCACCGGCGGCTTGTGCGGCAGCAGTGATGGGTGCTGCTATACCCCCAATAGACATTACAATAGTCATTATAGACGATAAAACGCTGAAGCTATTGATTAATGTCATATATCAAAGTGAATTAGGGTGAGTAATGAAAACGAACATAATTATAGTTGAGACGCTAGCAATTTCGGATTCTAGGTACAATTTAATGGCGAACCAAAATGACATTGCAAAGGTACTGTTATGTTTGTAAGTATAAATTCTCATGAGTGTATGGAGCAGACTTACGCATGAATTGCGAAAAATACTAAGTCCCGGTCAGTATGGGTAAGAAAAGAGATTTTTGAGGACATACCAGGAGCTTGCTGAATTGCTACCAAGGGAGACATAAGTAAACCTCGCCGCCGAGATTCTTGTACCCATGCAGCATATCTCTTTGCCATTTTCCCTTCAGCTTCACAGGCGACAACCATCCTAATCGAACTGAAAATTTCACTCGCAATAGAGGAAGACACTTGGTCAGCTTCCTCAACCCGCTTCAGCATCTTTACCAATCGTGGAATTGTGTATGAATAAAATGCAATGATAAAAACCAAGCCAGTGCTGGTTACAAGTGTGAGCAACCAATTGTAGTAAAATGCGACTATCAAAGCCGAGAAAATTAAAGAGACGCTTTGAAGAAACATGGAAAGCTTTTCGGAGATACCAAGTTGGAGTATATTAGCAGTAATGGTTATAATGGATGCTGTTTGCCCTGATGGTAAGGTATCAAGCACCGAAATGGGTTGACGAAAAAGGGCATTGAGATACGCTATTCGCATTGATGCGGATATTCGAATGCTCACCATCCGAAATCCCAGCTATACGAGTGTTAGGAAACTTTCGAGGATCTATATGTGTAATCCACTCACAACAGCGACGTAATCGAGGAGGAGCCTCCCTAAGAACAGGTAGAGCATGTAAATTCTGTACAGTTGCATTAGTATCTACCATCAATCCTCTTCACATATGCTGCTACTCACACATTT